GGAAGGAAGGTCTTTGCCCTGAAGCAGTGCCAGGCTCTTCGTGTTCGGGATCATCACTGCACATTCTGTGGTAGGGGAAGAAAGAGCATTCTGAGGAGGCTTAGGATGCCACGTACCTGGTTGATACCTGGTTGATACCTGGTTGATACCTGGTTGATGGGGTTCTGGGAGTTCTTCTACTCCCCAAGCCCGGCCCGAGGCCAGGCTTGACTTGTGAGAGTTTGGTCCACCAGGCTGTTGCTTGGAGCGGCCCGCAGGCCCACATATACCTGGTTGATGGGGTTCTGGGAGTTCTTCTACTCCCCAAGCCCGGCCCGAGGCCAGGCTTGACTTGTGAGAGTTTGGTCCACCAGGCTGTTGCTTGGAGCGGCCCGCAGGCCCACATATACCTGCTTGATGGGGTTCTGGGAGTTCCTCTACTTCCCAAGCCCGGCCCGAGGCCAGGCTTGACTTGTGAGAGTTTGGTCCACCAGGCTGTTGCTTGGAGCGGCCCGCAGGCCCACATATACCTGGTTGATGGGGTTCTGGGAGTTCTACTTCCCAAGCCCGGCCCGAGGCCAGGCTTTAAAGTACGGTACTTGAACTTGAAGGTACGTAAAGTACCTGACGGTCTTAACAAGCAGGGAGTTGCTAGTGGAGGCGAGATTGGTAGTGAGAGGAGATGTTTACGACATATGGGATCCATCAACGACCTCATTGCTGCCTGGCCTCAGTTCCAAGCCTACACCTGAAGGAATTCATTCTTAGATGAAATTTTGACAGAATCACTCATCCAGGTTACAATGAGATTCCCATGAGTGCCTTTTATTCTCTTCTCCGAGGTTATGGGTTTTCACTAATGCAACCAAAGCAGGTCCTCTATATAGTTTTTGTTAATGAAATGTTTTTTAACACGTTCTTTTAGATTACTTAGATTAAATTAGATTTTTTTGATTTTAGATTAAAAAGCTATGACTTGGCAGGACACAGGTGGAAATTAAGCCCCAAAATAAAGTACAGGTATAAGGAGCTCAAGACTGGCGCTCAAGAGAGCCGTGTGTGATGTCGTAGCTCAGTCGATTAAGGCAGTGTCTGGGATACTCCCGGACGCAGGTTCGAATCCTCGTCACGGCCCTTGTGGATTTGTTCATAACGGGAAACTAATTACCCCCGTCGATTGCTGGCTTGAACACGGAACCCAGGAGCTTAAGTCTTCGTAAGCACAATCAGGTGATCACGCGAAGTGAGCTCATCTGGTTGATCTCATCAACCGTCTTAGCTCGAATTATCTTAGCCTAAGTTAAATTAGCCTGAATTTAACCTAAGATGGATTCTGAAACCAAATAATAAATGGCCACTTCGTGCATAGATTAGGGACACGACCCCACAAAAAGCAGCACACAAGAGATTAAAAGATCACTGAGGAAGGTTCATTGGCCCATACGAGGTTATCTTGAGGTTATCTTGAGATGATTTCGGGGCTTTAGTGTCCCCGCGGCCCGGTCCTCGACCAGGCCTCCACCCCCAGGAAACAGCCCGTGACAGCTGACTAACTCCCAGGTACCTATTTACTGCTAGGTAACAGGGGCATTCAGGGTGAAAGAAACTTTTGCCCATTTGTTTCTGCCTCGTGCGGGAATCGAACCCGCGCCACAGAATTACGAGTCCTGCGCGCTATCCACCAGGCTACGAGGCCCCCCCAGGTAGGCGAGACAGAACCCGCGCCACAGAATTACGAGTCCTGCGCGCTATCCACCAGGCTACGAGGCGGCTCCTACTGCCCCATAGGATGCAGCTTCCCCAAACTCACTCAGATGTATAACCTACGCTTGAAACAATCCAGCGATCTTACGTCCATTTACGTTAGCCAGTAAATTTATTCCATAAATCAACAACCCTGTTCCCTAATCAGTATTTACTCTGCGCTTTTCCGATTTTAAACTTTTGAAGTTTGTATCCGTTGCTTAAAGTTCTAATTTATTGTTTAAAACCTTGTTTATATGTCCCATTTATACTCTTTTATGCGTGTGTATGTTGGACATATTTATATTATTAATATGTTGACCAGACCACACACTAGAAGGTGAAGGGACGACGACGTTTCGGTCCGTCCTGGACCATTCTCAAGTCGATTGTCTTGAGAATGGTCCAGGACGGACCGAAACGTCGTCGTCCCTTCACCTTCTAGTATGTGGTCTGGTCAACATAATTTAACCACGTTATTGTGACTCATCGCCTACATATTATTAATATATTCAGAATATCTGGGTAAATATCCCCATGTCTCTAGTTTATGACTGTATTGTGTGTTGAGCAACAACCTTGGGTTTCCTCTTCAAGATTCTTGAACCAATGGGGCGCGCTGGACGTCTCCAAAGGTGCGCTGGACGTCTCCAAAGGTGCCTCCAGGGCGTGGAACACCTATGATGTAGCTGGATGTCTCCAAATGTGCCTCCAGGGCGTGGAACACCTATGATGTAGCTGGACGTCTCCAAAGGTGCCTCCAGGGCGTGGAACACCTATGACGTAGCAACGTTCCAGGGAACTAAACCCAGATCTGAGTTGGTGGAGATGATTACAGAGACGTTAAGGAGTCCTTCGCCGAAAGAGCAACGATCTCACATCTTGCGGGTCGTCGATCGTTCCCCCGACCTTGTAATTAAGTGATTAGGCATCATTCCGTAATCCTAATCCAGCTCCTTGTTCTCATATCCCTTCCAACCGCTACATTGTCGTACTGGCTTAGTGCTGTCATCTGATTATTACTTTATATATATCTTCTACGACTGGCCATCTGTCATGAAGCTGAAGATGTTGGTATGATAGAAAGGAAAGGACTAGCTGGAGGGAGCGACAAGCCAATTTAAGCCGCCTGCACACTAGTTTACTGAAGGTTGAGAGGCGGGACCAAAGAGCCAGAGCTCAACCCCCGCAAGCACAACTAGGTGAGTACCGACACACACACACACACACACACACACACACACACACACACACACACACACACACACACACACACACACACACACACACACGTACAATGCTTGTATGCTTGCAAAACTCCGGTATTTTCTTTAGCCAATTAAAAATGACGTCTAATTAGGAGCCGTCTTCTGTTTTCCAGCTTCCATCACATAGTGTGATTTAATATATATTTGCGAGATTTATGAGTATAGTCGGAGGGCCCCACGACACCCACCAACCTAGTACTAACGACCATCTAATCCGGCTCCCAGAACTCGAACTCAGGGCTCCGGAACGTACCAGATAGACTGGATGAGTCGGAGGGAGGGGGAGGGGTAGGCTAAGGAGGTTGTTAATTTCAAATCGTATACAAAGCGACACAAGTTAGGATGTATTGGCTTAGGTTAGCAGATGTTAGGTTAGCAGGTGTTAGTTTACCAGGTGCTATAGGCTCGTTTGGTTAAGGTTGGGTTGGATTGGGCAAGGTTAAAGTTTTCAAATCCATTGGCGAACCGTCGCGTGTATAATGTGATATCCATTTGCAGTGATAGAGCCAACTGCCTAAGCCGTTTCGTCTGGCAATTGCTTGACGTTACGCTTGAGAAACATGGGGTCTACATAGGCCGCTTACCGGCTAGGCTTGCTTAGGCCTGCTGGGTCCACCCAGCTTAAAGAGAGGGAGGGACAGAGAAAGAGAGAGGGAGGGACAGAGAAAGAGAGAGGGAGGGAGAGATTAAGCGGGCATCAGACGGATGCTGCTGGAGCCCAAGTTACTGTACATGAGAGAGTCAACAGGTAGAGCAAACATAACTGGCCATCGGAGGTAATGTTTTGAAGATTGGCGAGGTCTGATGAGGTCTGGCGAGGTCTCGCAAAGTCTTGCGAGGTCTCGCGAAGTCTGGCGAAGTCTGGCGAGGTTGTAGGAAGCCTTGATCGCGCACGTTTTCTTTAATTAACCAAAGAAGATGGGAATTCTCCAAATAACACAGACCCATCCATAGCAGTTAAAGGTAATATAATTGTTTAAAATACTGTTGAATAGCACGCTAGTGACCGTAGCATTTGGGAACATAATGAACGAAGCATTTGGGAACATAATGAACGAAGCATTTGGGAATACGATGAACGAAGCAAATGCAAAAATGGTAATAAGACCATTATAATTTCACATATTTTGTGTGTGCAAACTTATCAAATTTCATCTTCATTTACGGGCCTATTAACGAAGCCCAACCATTATCCAGGCTAATTGCACCCCACAACAGTTGTGTGTCTCCTGTTACTTATTGACTGCTAGGCGAACAGATGCATCAGAGGAAAGGAAATGTGCCCAAATGTCTCTGTTCTGCTGTGAGAATCGAACCCAGTTTTGGGTGTAACTTCACTGTGTCAACTATATATACTGTCCTGCAGGTTGAATTACTTTGGGTGAGACGCGCTTAAGTGGACCAACGTGCGTATGGATGACAGACACTTAAATGGATCCATTAAGTGGATCCACTTAAGCCACTTTGAGTCGCATAAGTGGCTCAACCAAGTTTGAAAATGACATACTTTTTCTTCATTCCACAATGCTATAGTCTGATGAGAATTTAGGTCACCTGGGAGCATTAATGGAGCATTCTAGGCTGTCTAAATTATTTTCATGTCTTAGAACAACAACAACCCCCCCCCCCCCCCTCAACCCCCTCCGTCAACATCAACCCCCCCCCCCAATAATCTACACCCCCCCCTCACCACAAGATCACTACACCTCCCCAAATACACCTGGGCGCCCACCCAGTACACAGCATTCCGTCTCTCCCCCTTCGCGACCCCCCTACCCTCCCCCCCCAATAAACCCTTTCAAGAAGGCACAGTCTAATCTCCCCCTGAACCCCCCCTGAACCCTCCCTCCCTCCTGTGTACTCTAAGCTCCATTATTGTTCAAGACAAGATTGAAACCTGTTCCCAGGAATGTCCTGAATACACCTCGAGCAGTGATACACTACCAATGTCCAGGGTTCACCCCCAGCAGTGATAAAACGCTAGGACAGATTTATTATTAAATCCCACAGTGCTAATGACCTCTCCACCAATCCCTACGCTGCTCAAGACCTCTCCACCAATCCCTACGCTGCTCAAGACCTCTCCACCAATCCCCACACTGCTCATGACCTCTCTACCAATCCCTACACTGCTCTGACCTCTCCACCAATCCCCACACTGCTCATGACATCTCCACCAATCCCCACACTGCTCATGACCTCTCCACCAATCCCCACACTGCTCATGACCTCTCCACCAATCCCCACACTGCTCATGACCTCTCCACCAATCCCCACACTGCTCATGACCTCTCCACCAATCCCCACGCTGATCATGACGTCTCCACCAATCCCCACACTGCTCATGACCTCTCCACCAATCCCCACACTGTTCATGACCTCTCCACCAATCCCCACACTGCTCTGACCTCTCCACCAATCCCCACACTGCTCTGACCTCTCCACCAATCCCCCACACTGCTCATGACCTCTCCACCAATCCCCACACTGTTCATGACCTCTCCACCAATCCCCACACTGTTCATGACCTCTCCACCAATCCCCCACACTGCTCTGACCTCTCCACCAATCCCCCACACTGCTCATGACCTCTCCACCAATCCCCACACTGCTCTGACGTCTCCACCAATCCCCCACACTGCTCTGACCTCTCCACCAATCCCCCACACTGCTCATGACCTCTCCACCAATCCCCACACTGCTCTGACGTCTCCACCAATCCCCCACACTGCTCTGACGTCTCCACCAATCCCCACACTGTTCATGACGTCTCCACCAATCCTCACACTGCTCATGACCTCTCCACCAATCCCCACACTGCTCTGACGTCTCCACCAATCCTCACACTGCTCTGACGTCTCCACCAATCCCCACACTGCTCATGACGTCTCCACCAATCCCCCACACTGCTCATGACCTCTCCACCAATCCCCCACGCTGCTCTGACGTCTCCACCAATCCACACACTGATCAGATCTGAACAGTAACGAATGCTCCTTAAAAAGAAACTATCGTTTCACAGGACCTTGTCCCTATATCAACCCGTTCTCGCAAATTCGTAAAGTCAATATTGACTTATTAACTACGTGCATAGGTGATATACTAAACATAATAGATACCCTTAAAAAGATTCATAGAAAACACCAACCTTACCTAACCTTGTTAGTATCCTAAGATAAGCATCTTATTGCTTCGTAATTACAATTATTACTTAACCTATACCTATTATAGGTTAGGTAATAATTGTAATTACGAAGCAATAAGATGCTAATCTTAACATTCTAAGTAGGTTAGGTAAGGTCGGTGTTTTCTATGAAGCTTTTCAAGGGAAACTATTATGTTAAGTATGTCACCTATGCACATATTTATTAAGTCAATATTGACTTATTAAATTTGCGAGAACGGGTTGCTATATAACCAGTATTATATTCCATCCCCGTGGGTCTGTGAAGTGTTGACAAACAGATCAGTATACTAAACTAATAATGCAAGTCCTATCGATTAACAATAATATATTGTAATTATTTATTTAAATCCCTGATAATTCACCTTCCTGCGTAAAAAATGCCTAGTTAAGTTTTAAATATTTCTTCTATCATATTTCACTAAGATCACATTTAATAAAACGGAAAATCATCTCATATATAAACACCTTCAAATGTCTCATAAGAGCAACAAACTTGTTTAATTAACAAATAAAAGGCCAAAAGCACCAAGCCGAAAATCTGCAGTCAAGAAAATGCAAATGTCCCGTATGCAAATTAGGAGGTCCTGCACATCTTGATTGTCCAGTCGATGTTTGTACAAGAGGCGCGACCCCCTGGCGGTGGCGGAGGGAAACTTGTGGTGGGAGGTGTTCCACGGCGCCACTATAGTGGCGCTGGCGCTGTACTGCGCCCCTTACTGGAGCCAGATTCACGAAAGCACTTACGCAAGCACTTACGAACGTGTACATCTTTCCTCAATCTTTGACGGCTTTGGTTACAATTATTAAACAGTTTACAAGCATGAAAACTTGCCAATCAACTGTTATTGTTATAAACAGCCTCCTGGTGCTTCGGAGCTCATTAACTGTTTAATAATTGTAAACAAAGCCGCCAGAGACTGAGAAAAGATATACAGGTTCGTAAGTGCTTGCGCAAGTGCTTTCGTGAATCTGGCCCCAGGTCGTGGTGATGTTGTTCCAAAATTTAGCTACTCAGAACGAAGTGTCTATGTATCACGGGCTATGGTGAGCCCGGCTTGGTCGTGGTGGTTCTTCTTGGGCAATAGATTGACACTGTTGACAGTAGTGGGGGCGTTTTGATACGCTATGGGAAGGCCATACTGCCCTCTACATCACGTGTTATACATTGAGCCAACTAAAGCTACTAGGAAAATGACCGACTCCCATCAACCGCGCGAAGATTACCTGTCCTGGAAGTGGTCGAGGCTGGAGGCGACGCCCTGGATGGTGAAGAGTCAGCTACTGAGGTTGATGAGCAAGTTGAACGACCTAGTGGGAAGAGGGGGCGAGAGGCGACCAGTGAGGGGGTGGTCGTGGTGGTGGAATCCACGACGACTTTCCTTTGGGTCGTTTATAGCTTATTAATTACTTTAAAGTTACTAAAATGTTTTCGAAAAAGGTAGGAATCATAATTAACTTCAGGGATGGAATTCCTAAATGGCTTTGAACCCAAATGAAATGCCAAGATGCTTGCATGTCGTTCCAGGAAGAGCATCTCTGGGTGATAGTCAATGCTGCTACGGAAACTTTATGTGATTGGCATTAAAAACAGCGTCCACCAGCACTGGTTTGACAACTGTCCGAAGAACTGAAGACATCGCTGTGCCCGCCAACGCTGTGCCCTTCAGCGCTGTGCTCTCCAGCACTGTGCTCTCCAGCGCTGTGTCCTCCAGCGCTGTGCCCTTCAGCGCTGTGCCTTCAAGCATTCAAATATGCTACACAGAATATTCTTCAGAGAATATGTCATAACAACGTGCCTGAAACAAATAACCCAACACACACAGGTATGGAATGAAAGTGATATTTCGGGTCGTTCTGGACCTCCCTTTCTTTATGAAGGGTCCAGAATGCTCCGAAACTTCGTATGTTTACGTTGGGTAAATATGAGACACTTTTCGTGAGGTCCAAAAGTTCAATTTTCTTCGCTGTGGATGTAATTATTGCAGACCTTACACAGTAACACCGTACAGATAAGACTATGACCTCTTTAACACATTGCCAACAGAATTGGGCAAACTTTGCACATGGCTTTCAACGAATGGACTTTTCCGTAAGTCTTAGTGATTTAACACCGGACCTAGCGGGTAGTAATGGACATGTGGGCCTGCGAGCCTCTGTAAGTAACAGCCTTTTTGATCAAATTATCACACGAGAAGCATGATCTTGTGGAGTTGAAGAACGCTCAGAACCCACTCCAGGTACACTCCAGGTAAGACCAGCTGATAATTAACGGGAAGGCCCTCAAAGCCTCACCTTGAAGATGCTGTGTCAGAGATCGTCATCTCGGAGTCTCATTTGACCATCTTCTCTCCACCATTACCTAAACCAAAGAAAAACGCGTTGTGCTTTACAAAACAAGGTTAATTGTATTACGTATTTTGAAGTTAATATATTAGAACCTTTTCAGTATGATAACTCTGTGTAATCTCCCATGTGTATTTTTAGCATAGGAAATAATTGAATTAAGAATAATATATTTCACGTTATGTTTCAATTTTTTTTCATTTTAAGTATCGTTGTTCTAATTTTAAGCTGGTCTTTTTGTACGGCTGATGTGCTGTTTACTCCTGATGAAACTGTGTGTTTGTGTGTGTGTGTGTGTGTGTGTGCGTTCATTTATTTACAAATAGCAAATACACACACAGATTCGCACACACACACACACACACACACACACACACACACACACACACACACACACACACACACACACACACACACACACACATATACACACTCTGAGGGAAACAATGACACACACAGACACTCTGACACAGACATATACTCGCACGCTCACAAACATAGTTGCAGCAGGAGTGAGTGAGTGAGTGAGTGAGTGAGTGAGTGAGTGAGTGAGTGAGTGAGTGAGTGAGTACTGAACCCCTTCTATGCTCCTGCATAACCCCCCCCCCTCCCTCAAACTCTAAGTTTCCCCTCAGTATACGAACGTCTTGCTAACCAAATATACACACCAATCACAGTCGAAAGAACGAAAATACTCAACCCTCTCTTAAGACACACACACTCACACACACACACACACACACACACATACACACACACACACGCACACACACACACACACACACACACGCACACACACACACACACACACACACACACACACACACACACACACACACACACACACACACGTCTCTTCCACACACACTAAACTATTCGCACGCTGCTAATATGTGCCAATTATGGAAGGAACGGTCGTTCGACCCCCACCTCCCTAAGAGCCGGCATCATTACCTCAACACTTACGATGTCAACATGTCTTAAGTGCAACAGATATATCCCCAATGGCGCAGCTAAGATTATAGGAAAGTCGTTTATGTGGGGGATACGTCTTCTGAGAATTGTCTCGTAGAAATACTAACATACACCAGTTTGCTATACACCTATATCTTAAGTATATATATATATATTCCGTGTATTGGAGCAGTGTTTGACGGGTTCGCCATAGCCCATGGACACTTCGTTCTGAGTAGCTAAATCTTTAACAACAACAACAGTGTTTATCAGACTCAGCTGGGTGTCACCTAGCCCAGCTGGGTGTCACCTAGCCCAGCTGGGTGTCACCTAGCCCAGCTGGGTGTCACCTAGCCCAGCTGGGTGTCACCTAGCCCAGCTGGGTGTCACCTAGCCCAGCTGGGTGTCACCTAGCCCAGCTGGGTGTCACCTAGCCTAGCTGGGTGTCACCTAGCCCAGCTGGGTGTCACCTAGCCCAGCTGGGTGTCACCTAGCCCAGCTGGGAATTGTTTACCAAACACAGCTGGGAGTCACCTAACTTATATATATTTACCTCCATGTTTTGCTTAATGATTAATTAATATTAATATATTAAATATTAAACTAGAATTAGGAAATATTATTACAAATTTCAAATATAATTAACAAATATATAAACAATAAAAATATAACTATAATTGCAATATTAAATAATATATAAGTAAATTATAAAGGTGGTTTACCGAGGTGGAGGAATACCCCGCTTCTCGGTATACAGTTTACTTTAATCCTACACAGTGTTCAGGGCAAAGGTATTCTTATTCAATCAATTTAAAGTAGTCTCTCCTAACCTACCAGAGGACCCAAAACAGAAAACGGGACAGTACGTCACTTTCGCCAGCCGCTTCCATTTTCTAGTACGACCATTTTTGGCCTTATGTCAC